AACTCATTGTGCAAGTCAGGAAAAAACGGAAGGCCCCGACGTGGAGGTTGAGACCGGCGCTTATAAAACCGTTCATCCAGCTTACTAGGCGGCTGGACTTCTGGTTCTTCCTGTGGCCAGTCTAATTTTAATTTGGCCACAGCGCGGGTCAGAACCTCCACCAGCTCCTCCTGAGCGGGTGCGTGAAGCGGTTCTGAACTAAGCTCCACATCACCCGCCCCGATGCTCAACTGATCTGATTCCTCAGAACCAGATAGATGAAGCATCTGTTCATCCACCTCGCGGGAAGATACCGCATCGCGGGCTTCCTCACGGGGCGGGAGAACATCTGAATCTTCAGACGAGGATCGGGAAGATGCCGAAGCAGTCCCGTGTCCCGCTGAAAGATCCATCTGTGAGCCCCACGATCTGCGGCGCCGCGCTGCCTCGGCAACCGCGGGCCCAGAACCGCGAGGCTCGCGAGCCTGGCCGCTTGACTCATCAAACACGGCCAGCCGCGAGCGCAAAGCCCTGAGCGGCAGCTTCTCACACTCGCTACAAGCGGCTCCCTCGAGAGCCGCTCTAGCGTGCTGCACGCCCAGACAATGCACACACAGCTGGTGTGTGTCCGTGCCCGTAATATAGCGTGGACACGGATGCACGCACCGTCTAAACTGCTCGCTAGACATACTGGTTAATAATAAGGACAGACAACAGTAAATATGACAAACAGTCACACAGAGCGCTTCAGCTGAAGAGCGAAAAAGCTAGTGTTTGTGCTTGCCAAGCGTACCTTTGTATCTTCCGGTTATGCCGTCATCTACTACGTCATGACGTAGCACCAATCAGGATTGGACAGATTTCATTCATGCTTCAGATGCGCTACGCTGGGGGCGTTTCCCCAAAGCGTCACAACTATGACGCAGTGCGAGTTCCCTCGAAGGGGAACCTGAATTCCCGCCTGTGACTTCCAACTCTCCGATTGGCCAAGCCGACAGGAAGAGGCTGGATTTCTCCAAGGTGATAAATATCGGCGCGCTCCTCTCTCTAACTCGCTCTTCCTCCAACTCGCGCTTCCTCCAACATGTGACGCGCGCTAGGCTCTTGCCTCCTACCTCCGCTTCGACATGTAACTCTCATGTGCCGTGATTCCCGCAGGAATCTTTTCTGTTCTTTGTTTTGTTTTGTTGAGTTTTGTTTTCTGTATTCGACTCTGTTTACTCCCACGAAGGGAAATGAACTTAGTCTGAATTATTCCTTTGGTAACTTTACGTCAAAGACCTTTTAAGCCTTTGAAATTGCGCGCTCTCCGGACACACCCGCACACCACGTGCGCGCTCCTCGGACCCGCCGCAACCGCGTGACGCAAGGACAGAGACACAGACACACGCCTTCTTCACATCAGCCACACAAAAGAGCTTTACCGGTGCAAGTACCCGTTTTACTATGCTTTCAAGGTTTAAGATCTGTTGATTCTTGTTGTCTCAAAGGTTCTGTGTCTGTGATGAATTTTGCCAAACCAGAAGATCTCTCCAGATCTTCTTACTCTCTCTCTCTCTCTCTCTCTCCCTCCCAATCTTTCTCTCTCGCAACCTCTCTCTCTCACTCCTGTTTGTTATTCGTCTGTCTCATTAGTTTTACTGTTTAACTGTACATACATGTATCCCGTGTTTAAATGTAGAATTCTGTATCCGTAGTTTCATTTTATTAAAAACCATTATATTCTTGATTGTTTCTGTCTAAAAGCTCATATTTACAAGTCAATGAAATGATTGATCTATAGCTACAAAGCTTTACAAGTTGTTACTATTTCAGTAACCTAAATTTTATAAACACAAGAAAATTAATGTTCACGGCCAGAAAATTGATATTTCTTGGAGTTTGTAAAAAGGGATAACTTTGTTGAGAAGTTGATAAGTTAATCTTACGGCCGTTTGACAAACCGATTGTTTGATGACTAAATTAATTCCCTTAAAGTTATCTCATATAATTGATCTGTAATGAGACCATTGATATATGAAAGAGGAATTATAATTCGTTATGATTTATCATTCGTATATACAATCGATCTATTTTCAATTTCGATAATTTAACTGTAACATGCAAGATATTAATCATATTCATGATTAATTATTAAAATTCCCTATAAATAATTTTGAGCTAATTAAGGCAAAACTCAATGTTGCTACACATGATCCTTCAGAAATCAATATGCCGATTTGAGCTTAAGAAACATTTATTTTTATTGTCAATGTTGAAAAGAGTTGTTTAATATTTTTTGGGTGGAAACATAATTTTTTTTCAGGATTATCTGATGAATATAAATTTCAAAAGAACAGCATTTATTTGAAATAGAAATATTTTGAAACATTATAAATCACTTTTGATAAATTTAATGCATCCTTGCTGAATAAAAGTACTAATTAAAAAACTATTAAGTAAAAAAAAAAATTCTGCATGAAAGTGTTGATTATATTTATTATTCAACGCTTGGTTTTATAGTGCTAGATTTACTAACAGCTTGTACCAGCACAAACCTTCTTTTTTTTTAAACTAAAGACATGCAGTGAAAAATTAGCGCTGAAAAGGCATGGATACTGTTGTTTTTGCGGCTGACCTTATTGCATGCATTTGTATTTGTGCAAGTCAATTTACTGGTATTTGCGCCATTATTTACCATTTACCGTTGCATTCAAAGTCCAATTGATTTACAAAACTGGATAAGCACATGAATGGCCATAAGACATATGGTTACACTGACTACTGATTGCAAGACAAGTCTGGACTATAATGGAAATTCACCTGGTCTTTTCAGCAGGGGTAAGAAAAAGACTGAAAATCCCTTAAGAAGGCCATACTATTAGCATTTCGTACTATCAAATTGCCTAGAGCTGCTTCTCAAAGAAGCCGAGTAGTGGGAGGGACAGAGCGAGTAAAAGAGCGAGCGAGTAGATATTTGAAAATGGAAATCTTTTGAAACCCCAGTCTCTCATCAAACATTTCCACTCATTTAAGTAAGCATTCACTCAGTGACCCTTTTCCCTCTTTCTCCTACTGTGTCTGTGGCCCGTGATCCCTGGGAGGATGTCCTCTAGCGTTTTTATTTATTTATTTATTTTTAAGAATGGAAGCTGGGGCCTTCCCAACATGTCTTGCGATGGATGTTTTTCTGCTCTGTTTTCTCCAGAGAGTTAGTTGATTGGCTGGAGGGCTGTATGGTTTCTCGTGACCCATTCTTGTTTGTCAGTATGCTATATACTTGCAAATGAGTATACATATAAATTAGTTTTTAAGGGAATCTCATGAGCATGACCCTGAGTGAACCACTTTGTGTCTCTGTATGTAGACATGCTGTAGTGATTCCAGAAACAAGCTGTTTTGCTATGCTACTTGTGCACTTGTGCATTTAGAGGGCACACTATGTGTGCATGTATGAACAAGGAGTGCAAGTGAGCCCGTATAGCTAAATTGTAGCAGCGTTAACATTGTGACACTTCTATATTAGGGCTAAGGAAAATACACTATTTTAGTAATACTTTGTTTTACAAATGTGAAGGTGGATAAAGCATTGTAAAATAAGTAAAGGTATGATTTAAGTGATTTCAGGCCCTAGTTGAAGTTTTGTCTTTTGTATGTGGGACTTTTATGTTTGGTGTAGAAACATCCTGTAGTTGGCAAAATGGACTTTATTTTGATAGGAGGGCACCTTATAAGAGGAAGCCATTTGGGGAGAGGAAGGAAAAGATACCTGTTTTGAACCAAAGATATGGGTGCTTTTTTAGCCTTCTCCTTGGGGGACATTTATGGATTGATGACCCATCGAGGTTAAAGAGAAGACTTGGGTTGTTTTTGGTATTTTTGCCTGTGCATCACATTTGGAGGATTATTATCGTTTTTTGCTGGATATTTGTGGTTCATTTCTGGGGCGCAAGGACTAAGGATTCATAAACCCGGACAATACTCCTCACACATGGACTATTTGATCAAGGACTTTGGGATAAGTGTTATTTTTCTTGATTTGATTGCTGTGTTATCAATATACTTTGTTGGGTAATCTGTTTATGCCTTTCTTTGTCTGATTTCAAGCATTGATATAGTTTTTCCCTTTATTCATTCATGCCTTGTGTGTGCCCTGAACTCTTAAGTGACTACTGGTTTACTTAAGTTGTAAGCCAAGTTTGTTACAGATGGTGGCCCGTATGGGCCCTTACAGAAAAACCACATGAGTTTCACATGTGCAAAAACACATGTGATCCCATGTGACAACGTGGACATGTGATTTTGCACATGTGAAATTTAACATGTGAAATATGTGGAACACATGTGCTTTGCACATGTTAAAGGTAATTTGCACATGGGAAACGTGTGGTTTTGGAACATTTTCATGTGAAACCCATGTATATTCCCATGTGAAACCCATGGGATTGCATGTGAAACCCATGTGATTACATGTGAAACCCATGGGATTGCATGTGAAACCCATGTGATTACATGTGAAACCCATGGGATGTGAAACCCATGTGAAACCCATGTGATTACATGTGAAACCCATGTGATTACATGTGAAACCCATGGGATTGCATGTGAAACCCATGTGATTACATGTGAAACCCATGGGATTGCATGTGAAACCCATGTGATTGCATGTGAAACCCATGTGATTACATGTGAAACCCATGGGATTGCATGTGAAACCCAAAATTCCCATGTGAAATCCATGAGCTTACATGTGAAACGTAAAATTCCCATGTGAAACATTTAATCACATGTGAAACCCATGAGATATCATGTGAAATGTAAAATATCTCATGTGAAACCCATAGAATGACATTTGAAACCCATCAACAATCCATGTTAAAGCTACACACCATGTAAACCTGTAACTTCATGTGAAATCCATGTAAAAATCATTAAGCAATATACCACAGAAAACGGTAGGCCTACCATGTTCTTGTGTAGGCTCTATAGCCTAATGTTTCCCAACATTAAAACAAATAATTCAAAAAAAAATTTTTTTCACTTTTTATTTCATTTCAAAATATGCAATACAAATTGAATGTTTAAAACAAACAAAGCAAAACCAAATTAAAATTATACATAAAAAGCCGCAAAAAACGCAGGTATACGCGCATGTGTGTGTGTGTGGTGTGCGTTTGTGAAAGTGTGTTGTCTCAGTCCTTTGTGTCTCCTGCAGCAGGCATCCTGTTTTGGGATAGAAAAAGATCAAAGATTAGGGCAGTGCAAACCATAGACTGTAAAAAAAAATATGGACGTAGTGTCCGTGACGTCACCCCGTAGGTTTCTGAAAAGCATTTTTATGGGGCTTAATAATTAATTATTATTCATTTGTAATGTTATTATGTCATTAAACGTTTTACGTAAATATGCTATGGAAATACATCTTGCTTAAACAACTGTATAAGACGAGTGGTGCGTCTCATTTATAAAAAAAACTATTGACAGTTTGTGATTAGATCACAATGTAGACTGAGGAATAAACTGAGTCATCAGTCCTCGCGCATGTCGGTTTCGCAAATGTGAACAGACCACATGGGGATCACACTTGGATGTTGGATCGTCTGAATATTACCTTTCTGCTCGTCTCCTCAGATCTTTTAACTTTTGTGCCATGCAGACCTTGATCTCAGTGCCTCCGATGCCTGGGTGCCTCTTTTTGACATGGTCTGTAAGAAATGAGATTGATTACATTAAAATTTGAAAACAAGTTTGACATGAAGTGACATAACTGTCAGATTCAAACTGTGCTTTCCGCGCTATGGCTGGCGCTGACGGACGCGCTCAGCGCTTGTCATATATAATAACTATTGATAAAAGATATTCAGACATGCTTACCAATTATTAGCTGCACCTTTTGTAGGTCAAGGCTCTTTTTTCACCAACAACCCCTTTTTTTCCGTTCATGCTGCCATCTCTTCGAAAGAGAAGATGGAGTCCATAAGAGTTCTGGTTAACTTTTTGTAGCCCTTACATCTTTGAGCATGATCCAAAGCAACTGGGTTCATTAAGTCAGTCACAGACTTGTTCTGCAAAGCAAAAAATAAAATAAAAAATAGAACATTTTCGTCAGGACAGAAACCGTGATCTTTTCAACGTTATTGCATATTAGGTGAGGTTTTCACTTTGGAGCTGTGAGTGTAAATTTTAGCATACAAGTATTTATTGTTCATGCTCGAGTCTTGATACTCTTTTACCTTCATATTCCAGAGTTTAGGGGTAAAATGCGAGAAATCTCCTTTAGTGGACTTGGATATGCTGGGCACTACTCACTGATCTATATAAATGACTTGATTGCTCATGACGTCATGTAAATTGAAGTCACCATATTCTATTGAATTAATAGGAAATCATCTGACTTTAATGAGTAAACATGACCTAACGAGTCAGTGTTTTTTATATTTGAATTCTATACATTCTTACCATGTAAACATCCAAAACATTTCTGATTATTATCAATGTTGAAAACAGTTGTGCTGATTAATGTGTTTGTGTAAACCATTGTAACAGTTTAAACCATTTTTTCCCCTCCAGGATTCATTGTTAAATAGACCACAAACATATGAAGGGTAGTTTACACTAATGTTCAAACATTTGGGGTCAATGATAGATTTAAAAATGAACAGAAAAAAAAGAAGAAATTCATATTTTTACTCAGCAAGGATGCATTAAATTGATCAAAAGAGAGAGTAAGGATTTCTGTTTCAAATAAATGCTGTTATTTTAACCTTTCTATTCATCAAATAATCCTGAAAAACACAAAAATATGAAGCAGCACAACTGTTTTCAACACTGATAATAATCATAAATGTTTTTTTGAGCATCAAATCGTCATATTAGAATAATTTATGAAGGATGATGTGAAGCTGTGATGCTGAAAATTCAGCTTTGATCATAGGAAGTAATTGCATTTTACAATATATTCACATAGAAAACAGTTTTTATTTATTTATATTATTTCACAATATTATTGTTTTTAATGTTTTTTGGTGAACATAAGAGAAAGAGACATAAACATTTGTACCAAGACAATTAGTGTATGTTTGACATTAGTGTATGTTTGGCGTTTTACTTACTAATCATATGGTTCATCAATAGTGCTTTAGAGATGAAGATCAGCTCCACTCCGCTCCGTTGAAGGGCATCAGCACTGAAGGATCTAAGAACACAACAAGCCATTTGTCACTGAGCCAACAATGCAATGCCAGGTTTATTGAAAGGAAAGAAGCTACAGCAGAGGTGAAATGCAGAAAAGAGAAAGAATTTAAAGAATATACAGAATATAATTTCTTAACTAGGATAACAGAATTTGTTTTTGGGTTTACTTATTCATTTAATTTTGCTCATACGGTGTAACTTCGTTTGGATGTCAAAACCTTCTTAAAATAAACAATTTAAAAAAACAAATTGAGAAATAAAATGAGGTTATTTAATGAGCTTCCTCGGCTCACCTGTGTCCTAACGTTACTTCTCCGGCAGCAGCTTTCTCCAGAAATGTTGAAGTCGTGGAGCTTTCTCTCTGTTATGGGTTATTTTGTTACTACTGAAATCACAGAACATTTTTTAATCAAAATGTGTTTAACGTTACCATTGAGCTAACGTTAGTTTCAGCCAATTTTCTTGCTCCTGAAAGTAACATCACCGATACGTTATGTTTACGTTTGTGTTAAATAAATTAGCTCACTTCCAAGTAAAACCTTTACAAAACCTCTCATCTACACATAAGAGGTGATTAAAAGCCCAAACTTTAATAAATAAAAGTTCAACCGAGTTAACATTACGTTAGCCTAGCTAGCTGCTACCTCTTCAGAAAACGGTTGAGATCCTAACGGACTTTTTCCGAAGACACTACACCATGTAAATTTTTAACAGAATCGTGTCAATTACAAGTAAGAGAAATGTCAAAAACAGTTGTGAGTATTATTCGTGTGATTTTAGAGACTAATCTCACCTGGAAAAAGCCGTGAAAAGTTTAAACAACATCGAGAGAGGGAGTTTTGTTGCTTACCAGTAGCAGTGGTCCCGCGCCGTTTCCATGGCAACTCTGCGCGCCGGCCGCTCCAGTGTTTGAAATACTCGAAAGTTCACGCGCACGGCATTGATTAAACCACGTCAAAATCATGCAGCACTTAAAATGAAAAGTTTAATATCCACTTTATTTTATTTGAAAACGTGCTTGCAGTAGCCTATTGATTATATCAAATATAATATACTGTTGATTATGTAAAATATATTTACAATATAGCTTTAGAAATGGTAAACAGTGTTGAAATAAAAGTATTGCAAAAACTCATTAAAAACTATACGTGTATATAAGTGTTAGTATATACACATGCATTATAAGCTTTATGTTCTATGCATTTTGTGTGAAAAAGGCTATTGAAGCTAAAAATGTACAGTATTTGTGACGTGGTAACATAATTCACATGTTAAAACCTATTACAACGTGCAAATATATTTCACATGAGCTCCACATTATTACCTATAACATGTTTTCCACATGTGCCACGTGTTCCATTAAGTTCACATGTGGTGACATGTTGTTCACATGTGGTCGAACATTACTGCATGTGGTGACATGTTGTTCACATGTGGTCGAACATTACTGCATGTGGTGACATGTTGTTCACATGTGGTGAAACATTGTTCACATGTGATGACATGTTGTTCATATGTGGTCACATGTGGGCATATGTGGTCACATGTGGTCACATGTGGGCACATGTGGAAAACATGTGATAACATGTGAAATTCATGTGTTTTTTCTGTAAGGGGGGACACTCATGTGTATGGTGGTAATGAAATGAACTGATTTAACTGTGTTATCTAATTTGTTATTTCCCATTTTGGTCAAACAGTGTTTTATACTTACAATGGAAACTGGTAATTCTAATTCAGAGGCAGAGTTAATTCCAGTAGATGATGTGGGTGTAGCAGAGTCCCTTCCTTTCAATCCTGCTCCACCTGGAAATGTATACAGGAATCCAGGATCTGTAATAGAGATAAGCTCACTGTTGGGGGAAATGTATATTGACAGCCAAGCTGAAGAGAGTGATGATGAGGCTCAGCCTGTTGTAAATCCGTTAAGAAATGAGATTGGAGGAACAGATTTAGTAATATCAGACCTCTCTCAATCAGTCCAAGAATTACGTGCTGAAATGGAAACCTTGAAAGATGGTCTTCGAACATCCTGTGAGAGTGCCGTGAACCGTGAAGCTGTGTTCAGAGATGTGGTGAATCAACGGTTCGATGACATTGAAAATTTCATGCAAAGATCTTTGGCTAAGCTAGAAAGTGGAGTTATAGACTGTCTTCAAAGAAGGGATGAAAAGTGGCGAAAGGAAGTTGACCGTATTAGGAAAACCAGCACTCCAATGACCCGTTTTTCCTTTGGGGCTGCCACTTCAAACAGTGAGAGAATGCATTCAACTATACCAACTGCTTCCTATCCCAAACCCCCAATTCATTTAGAATTCCCTAGTTTTGGAGAAACCAGAGAAACCAGTGATGTAGTGGAGTTTGTGGAGCGATGTGAAAATTTTTTGACACTCAGACACTTGTCAGACACCGAACTTGTAGCCACCCTAAATGCTGTTCTCTCTGGACCTGCCAGGAGTTGGTGGCTGGCAGAAAGAAATAAGATCCATAACTGGGACGAGTTTAAAGGAGCCTTTTTGGGAGCATTCCTTCCCACTGACTATCTCACGGAGGTAGAGGAACAACTTAAAGCTATGATCCAGGGTCCCGATCAATGCATCAGAGATTTTGCTTATGACTACAGGGCATTATGCTTAAAGTGGAAGACTGATCTTCCTGAGGAAGAAGTGGTGAGAAGAATCCTAAATAACTGTAACCCTTCTCTGGCAGGAAGCTTAAGGGGTGCTGTGCATACAGTGGAGCAATTGGTCAAGGTTGGGTCATTGGTGGAAAGAGACCTCAATTCCAAAAGAGACTATTGGGCCAAAATAAATCAGATAAAAGCTAATGAAAAAGGGAAAAAGAATCCAACAGCCCGTCATGTCAATGTCTCCAAACCCCTGTCTGGACCAACTCAACATCTAGCTTTAGTGCAGGCTACCACCCCTCCGTTGCTGCGAGCGGTTTTGGGAATTCGGGGCAAGCTAGTGGAAGCTATCCTAGACACTGGTTCCACATTCACTTTAATGCAGAGACAGCTGTGGGAAGTGTTGGCTAAGCCAGGTGAGCAACTGAGGAAACATTTCAACAGGACTTTCATGCTAGCGGATGGGAAGGCCCAAACCTCAGAAGGCAGAGTCCATGTGACCTACGAGTGGCATGGAATGATGTGGACAGTTGACACTTATGTGATGGCAGACCAACAGCTTGCTTGTCCCCTTATATTAGGCCTGGATTTTTTAAGTCAAACGGGAGTACGTTTACATGTGGGAGAACATAGTTATGAACTGTGTATCAATGGACGGATGACTGTGTTTCCTTTTCTCTGCCAGCCCCTTGGGGAAGAATTATGGAGCCAGCAGGAGGAACAGGTTATCAATGTGTTTATGGCACTGCCATTAGAGGCTGGAGTACCTGAGTCAGTAACGGTGGTGGAATCTTCATTGAAGGATGATCTGATACAGAGCTATCCTCAGGTAATACAACAGCTGTTGCATGCATGGCCTTCTGTCTGTTCCAACAAGCTGGGGAAGACAAACCTAACCACCCACCAGATCATAACCACAGATGACCTCCCAGTTAGGTGCAAAGCCTATCGAGTCTCACCTCTAAAGAAGGATATAATTCGGGAAGAGATTGAAAGGATGCTCCAAGATGGCATTATTGAGCGTTCACAATCTCCTTGGGCATCCCCAGTGGTACTGGTGCCTAAACCTGATCAAAGCCTACGGTTCTGTGTTGATTATAGGCGTTTAAATGCTAAAACGCCTCAAGATGCTTATCCAATGCCCCTCATCCATGATATTCTAGAATCCATGCATGGAGCAAAATATTTCAGCACGCTGGATTTGAAATCAGGGTACTGGCA